GGAATTGAAAGTCTGGAATATGAGAGTCAGGGGACATTTACCCATAAACTGCTTAGTTGAGTTTTGATTATAAGCAGTTACCTGGACTGCAGAAAATGTGATATTATTACCCAGGCCTGTATTCAATTTGGTATAACATTTTTATATAGCTTTCTGCCCTTAAAAAGTGAGAAAAAAATTTCTTCTTGATTAAATTTTAACAGAATTACAGGCTGGAGATATTCTTCAGACCCACTCTCAAATCTTCGTCACCAAGAATATAATACTACTTAAACTCTGCACTCTAAAGAGTTTTGAGTCACAGAGTTCTATTTTTCTAAGATTAGTGGATCACCAATCATTGGATGAGTCTGTTACCGCATCTGTAAAAGGGGTTTAGATAATAATTCCTAGTGGAAGGGTCATTGTGAGGGTTAAGGGTAAAACAGTGCCTGTCACATTGTTTGTATGCCATTTATAGCAATGGCCTGGTTTGTTTTTCTTTTTGGTTCTGTTTCTTCTGTCACAGTGGTGTTTCTTTCCCTTTCTCCAGAACATCTTTTAGGTGTTTTCTCTGAAGTGCAGGGTCTTACCGAAAACTTGCAAGCTTGGCTGTGGTGGCTGGGTTAGGAGAGAAACCTTATCTTCTGGGGTGTTGGGGTTTAATTAGTATTGTTCTGACTGAGAGAGAATGGAGTGTTACATTAAAGAATGAGGTGATTCTGGGCATTTGGGCACACATAATATTGAGATCCATAAAAAGGCATAGTAGAGCCTCTAGACGTCTCAGAGATTTGATCAAACCCTTCATGTTTTAGGTTAAGGGTGAAGACCCAGAAGATGCAGTAACTTTTCCACAGTTATGTTGTTCAGGACTAGAAACCCATCTTCTGACTTCTAAAACTGTTCTTTTTCCTTGCTGTACCGCTGGCTCCCAATCCTTTCACAACCTAGAATCTCATTTATTGTAATTTGATATCTCCGTGGATGCTGTATTTTGAAATATTGCCTCTACTAAACTATACCCATTTAATTTGTGTTTTTTCCTTTTTAGTAAAACTTAGGCCTTTAGCTACCAATCAGATGAATGAAAATGTGGTGAACAATAATGTTTCATTGAATTTAAGTTTCCTAACCTAAAGGTGCATAATATTGTTTGAGGGAAAATGAAATATGTTGGGCTTTTTGAGTAATGAAATTAGCTTAGAAATCTCAATTACTATCTTCATAAAACTTTGAAAAACACTTAGCTGAGGAGCTGCTGAGCTGTGTCATGTTCTTCTAGATACACTGCTATCTGCCCAGGTGTGCTAAGTAGTAGCTGTGCTTGATTTCCAAGGGCAAAAGAAAGCCCAGCCATTCGGACTAGGATGTGACATAAATGTTTTTGTTCATCATAAATCATGTCAACCCTGGACTGCATAGCATACACAGAATTTTTCTTTGTAGAATAACTGTAGATTGGGAAGAATCTTCACTCCAGCAGTACAGAGTATGTGAAATGGAGAAGCTGATATTAAAAATCGCAGAGAATAGGGGGATTCTGAATGATTCACATCTTCTTTGGGGCTAAATGATTAAAGTATTTGACTTACAGGCTAAAAGCATGAAAGTTAATATATCAACACATGGACTGTTATATAGACTTGACTATAGTCTACACTAAAAAACTTGTTTCTTGGTCTCTGGTATGTGATGTTTCTTGAGAATGGCTGAGTAATGCTCACATTTGAAGGGTTATCTGCTTTAAAATGAAAGAGTGCACTCTGAAATGTATGAGATGAGAGATGCTTCAAAGAACTAGAGAATCAGAATCCAGAGCAACCCAAACAGAAGTAACAGGAGGCCTAATGGGACCAACTGGTACTGTAGTACAATTGGAAATGTATAAATAACATGCATATGCTTTGACTAGAAAGACAGTGTTTTTGAATCTAAGCCCAAAACAAGTCACAAAGCAGCCACTCCACATTGGCTGATTTGCAGTCAGAGCTGCTGCTCAGATGGGCAGCTTCACTTTACAGGCTGCTCAGTTAACTATCTGTGTTTGTCAGTGGCCACCAAGTTGTACTGCTATTTGTGTATGTGTGTATGTTATGGTCACAGGAGAATGGCACATCACTTTAAAGATATTTAGGGATTAAGTTCAGAAACATGTCTTATTTGATCTCCACCTTTTATGGATTTGGACATAGAGTCCACTTTTTAAAAATTATTTTAATTTTTTCCCCCACCATGGGCATACACAGGAAGTTATCATACTAGCCAATAGCCTGCTGAGGACAGTTCTTAATGCCACATCAGCAAGAACTTATTAAACATATATGAAGTTGAAGAAGTCCAAAAGTGATCAGAAATGATTAAGGGCTGATGAAAAAAGGCGTGCCCTCTCCACGGCTACTAGCCCTGCTTCCCAAGGTGAAGCCCCTTGGGGTGCCCAGAACGTAGACTTACCCTGTGACGATACTGCAGCAGTGGCCCCGTGGGAGAACTGTGCCCATCTGAGCTGCCACAGCTGAAGTCTGGGCTGAGTGGTCCTTGGCTGCTGATGGACAGAAACTTGCCATTTGTATAAGAATGTTGGTCCCATGAGGGTGGGCATTTTTGCCCTTCTGTATACTGCTGTTTCTGTGTCTTGAAGAGTGCCTGGCACACAGTGGGTATGCAGAAGATGCTGTGGACAGGGAGAAGAAACCGTGGCTCCAAACCATAGAACCCCCAATTAGTTCTAAGAAAGCTCACTCTGAAACTTGTTACCATCCTTAAGTCCTGAAATGGATAGTGAGTCTGAAGGTGTATTATATGCCAGTGGCAAAGTCATGGTAGAGCAGATTATCACAGCCTTCCTCCTGCTTCGCAGAAGAGTAGAAATGTTTTTATTAATAGCTCCACACCTGTTTTTCTGTATTGGCTTGTTATATGTCATGTCTTTTGTGCTACAGTATCTCAGTACTACCTCCACTCCAACTTTTAAAATCCTCAGTCCAGATTTAGGGATGGATTCAGGTTTCCCCAGTGGCTCAGTGGTGAAGAATCTGCCTACAGTGAAGGAGAGGTGGGTTTGATCCCTGGGTGGGGAAGATCCCCCTGGAGGAGGAAATGGCAACCCACTCCAGAAAAGTCTGAACTTCAGGCATTCCAACTGCCTGAAAAGTCCCATGGACAGAGGAGCCTGATAGGCTATAGTCCGTGGGGTTGCAGAGTTGGACATGACTGAGCAACTAAGCACGCATACACAGAGCAGGTTTTATAGGGCTTGGAATTTATGTAATTTGAGTCCTCTTTAAAAAAAGGAATACAGATTCAAAATACAAAATCAGGTATAGTGCTTTGGAAGAACTTACGCAAAAGACAAGCCTTGAAGCTTAGGTTCAGTCTTCCTGGTAATTTGCTTCTGATTTTATTGCTCCATTCAGAAAACCAGACATCAGTGTTTTTAATTGAAAGTTCATGTCAGACTGTGGAAATCAGGGAGTTAAATGACTTGTATCAATTACTAAATAAATTCATCTCAAACATTAGAAATTTCAAAACTTCCTTATATAGATGCTGCCACCCATAATAGAAATGATAAAAATGCAGTACATGGCCACAGAAATAAATGATAATGGCACAAAGAACCGGTCATTGATCAAGTCCCCAGAACCTCCTGAACACTGTGTAGAGTGTTTAAGTAGCTTACCTCATTTCATTCTGAGAATAACCCTGTGTGCAGGGTAGTTAGCCCCATATTACAGATGAAAACACAGGGTCAGAGGTGTTAAAAATGACTTCCTCAGAATTACAGTTAGAGTAGTTAGATGTTAGAAATCTTCCTCTGAAACAGCCAAGACAGTGTTTTGGTGAAGATTCTTTACAGAGAGGCAGCAGCTGGTGAGACTGGACCCAAAATGTGATAAGTGAGAGCTGATTCTTTGGACTTGGGAGGAGGTCCTTAAAAGTTATCAGGAATCCATTGTTGAGAGTATGCAAAATGCCATGACACTTTGTCTCAGAGACTGTGCTGGTGGTTTTCTTACACAGTAGAGGGCAGAAAGATAGCGAGAAAGATTTCCACCCTTCCATAACACAGTAGAGGGCAGAAAGATAGCGAGAAAGATTTCCACCCTTCCGTTTCATTCCTTCAGTTGATGGTAAATCATGAGCAGAGCAGCCAGCTTCTCTATTCTAGGGATCTTTTAAATGAACTAGTTTTGGCTTATTGTGTATGCTAAACTAGACTGATTACAACTTCAGTTTTTAAAAATTATTTTTATTAGACTTAACAATAGTTAATGATTCTCTCTACCAATGGGCTGTATAACTAATGATAAAAGTCACCCTGAACTTGTTTTCCGAATACAGTATTGTTACTTTAAAAAGCTATACGTTTTTGTTAATTTGTGAAAATTATACTCCATTTAGTATTACTTTAACAAGCTGTGTAAAATGTAAAACTGGGCCATCCTTTTTACCACTATACTTTTCTCAAACTGCTTGCACAGATTAAACATTTTCCTTTGTGTAATTGTTTTCCTCCTCCATAGATAATAAGTCCCCTGAAGTTTTATACGTTCAAATACAGGTGAGAAATCCAATTCTATTTTCTTCTCTAATTGTTACAGCTTGAAATATAGTGTTATAATTCTTAAATTACCTCCAGTGTATATTGTTAGGCTTTTAACATTCTTGACTATGAATGCTTTTACTGAATTTCCTCTCTTTTTTGGACAAAATTATTCATGTATTAGAGGATCAAGGTTTTGTTGTCATTAAGTCATTCAGCTGTAGGTGTGTCTTGTAACAGACTTACTTAAACTACCTTACACTTCTAAAAAATTTATGTAAGCAAAATATTTAAGCTATTTTGATATGGAGGGTATATCCTGCTTTGTACCAATTTTTAAAAAGTATAAATGGACTTTCCCCAAACCATTGGTATAATTATTAGATTCCTGGTATATCTTTTAATGATTTTAAAATTCTTTCCATGTCTACTTTGTATATCTTAATTCATTTTTTTTCCCCCTCGAGCAGAAAAGATGTGGAGTGGGCTGCTCCCTCCTGGCCTAAATGAAAGTGATGTTGAATTGAGTTCTGACGATGATACCACATTAGAGAGCTCTGAACTTAACTCACAAGAGGGCAGAGAAGATGGGACCTGTAAAAAGACAGAGGCCGCAGACGTTCCTCCAGACGGACCAGACGCTGAAGCAGAGGCAAATATAAATGCGTATGAAGAGTGTCCATCTGGGATTCCCTTAAATATGTGGAATGTAGGTTTTCCCTCACATGTTCTCACTGAAGTCTGTGCCTGTGTCTCTGCCAGGGTCAGAATGTGTCTGTTCTTGGTGGGTAACGGGTAGGAAAGATTGATTCTGAATGATTTTATTACTCTCTGTGTCTGTGGCCAACTCATTGGTCACTCAGGTACTTGCATTCATTTTTGTTTTCTTTTTCATAAAAAGAGGAAGAAAAAAAACATTTAGTAGGATTAACTACTTTGCTTAACACAATACATGAGGAGTTTCAGTCTTAATCTCTTTGTTACAAAGTCTATGAGTCATTGACTTTTACCTCTAAATTACCAGATTGACTTGTTTGGAAATAAATGAAGATAATTCAGGTTGTAAAAGTCTCAGACAATAGAGCATCTTAAGAACTAAACTACTTACATTATATTTGTATTTTTATAAATGTTAAGAATATAGTTTTTATTGACATGTTATTTTTCAAATGTATACTTTGCTTCAAAACATATTTGCTTTTTTTTTTTTTTTGCTTTTATGTAGAAATTTCAAGAATTGCATAAAAAGCACTCTGAACAGAAAACTTCAGCTTCTAGATCCGAAAAGAAAAAAAGAAAACGCTCCAGAAAAGGTGTTTTAATTCAGGTTAATTGTCAATAGTGTTAAATTGTGACCAGTTGGACTTAACAATTTTTAATAACCATCATTTTGAAATAACCAAATGCTTAGGTATTGATACTTTGTGAATTCTTTTCAGGTAAATTGAAGAATGAAGAAGAATCTCATAGGTAGGTGGAATTTAAAATATCTGTCTGTCCTAGACAGTATTGTAGAACTTGTACAAATAGTTGAACCTCTGAAACCTAAGAAGTAGTTGATGTAATATAATTGTAGTAATGAATTAAAAACAGTAAATGTAAAAATGAGTGCATTTTGTGTGAAACCTAAGTTATTGTCTATCTTTTTACAGTGAACAGTCTTCAAGTGAAACCCAGTGGAAGGAGCTTACCCAGTATTTTGGAGTCAATGAGAGGTTTGACCCACCTGTTAAAAGGAAAAAAGTTGAAAAGGTAAGATCTTTTTTTATTGCATTTTCTATTCGCCAGTGGTAACTGTTTGTAATTAGTCTTGCCTAAGATATTTCTCCTCATTGATTCATTCAGTGAAGAAGTTAATGTGTGAAGGATGCTAGATAAACAAGTAAATATATAGTTACAAGTCATTTTTTAAAACTGTTAAAAAAGAAACAGGGTATTGTGAAGAAATTAACATGGAGGCCCCACGTTAGCTGAGTGGTCTCTGAAGGCCTGTCTCACTAAGACTGAAGGATGGCAAGGAGCCATCTGTGTGAGACCCACTAGTGCAGAGGTGATAACCTGGGTAAAGATCCTGCTGGGGAGGAAGGGCCATCATGGGACATGTGAAGAGCAGTGAGAAGGTCAGCCTGGCTGGATGGAGTCAGCCAGGAGAATGTGAATGGTCTAGGATTAGACTGGAGAAGCAGGCAGGCAGGGACCAAATTGCACAGGACCGTAAAGGACGCAGTGAGGAACTGGGTTTTGGTCACGAAGCAGTTGAGAACCATTCAAGGGATTTATGTGAAGGGTTCACATAAAGCGATCACAGTTATGTTTGAAAAGATTGCATCTTACATCGAAGATGGACCTTGGAGCAGCAAAAGGAGATGGGAACAGTTAAGAGACTCAGCTAGACATGAGATGATGGGAGCTTGAGTGAGAATGGTCCTGCTGAAGGGAGACGAGAGCATGGGTTTGAGGTACACTGTAGAAGTAGAATGGACAGTATTTGCCTCTGGCTTGCTTATGAAGTGGTGGGGAGATTGGAATTAGGAGGATGGGAGAGAACCATTCAGGCTTTTACTTATGCAGTGGTGTGAATAGCCACATTGATAACAACGATGAGAAAGCTTTGAAGGGGAGATTTAGAGGGAGGCCTATCCAAAGTTCATTTCGGGGCATGGGTGGTATCAGTAAGCAGAATAGAGTAGACCACTGGTAAGATGAGGCAGGAGCTTGGAGGAGAGTCTGTCTCGAGATGCATGCTTGGCAGTTGCCAGTCTATAGATGGCGTTAATATTTGTTTGGTAGAGGCTAGAATGAATGAGTAACTTACACATTTATCTCGGGGAGTGTTGACAGACGTCAGGAGCATGGAAATTGAGCTCTAGGCTGGAATGGAGGTACAGAGGCCTCTTGGTTAAAGCCCAGGGATATTGTGTCTTGCATATACGGACAGGATCATTGCTGTATAATACTGTATGTACGTAGATATTGTTACTGTTTTCTGGTTCATCAGTATTTCTTGTGAAAAACTGCTTGATTTTTAAACCCATCATTGGGGTTTAAAATTGGGTGCCTCATTGAGGGCACATGCATTAAAGAACTGGCACAACAGAGTTTTTACATGTGAACTGTTGATTCCAACTTTGCCAAGAATTCTTGCCGCCTAGTCTGTTGGACACTGGGGAATTGGTACCAGGATCACCTTGTACTGCAAATAGTTAGAGATGTTGAGCAATCTCCTTTTCCCAAATGTTCAAGCAGGTACAGAAATGCTAAATTTCTTACAGAAATCACTGGTTAGAGCTGAAGCTAAGACCCAGACTTTGTTCTACCATTCTCAGTTCTCCAGCTTCACCATCCAAAAGGCTGATAAGCATTTTAACATGATTGCTGTGCTCTTGATGACTGTGATTCTGGTGGCCTGGGAGGAGGGATCTTGTGGGGAGGATGCTCTTGACTGTGACAAACCTGCTCCAAAGCATGAGGGAGGAGGCTCATGCTGACAGCAGTGGTCCCCAGGCCATCTCTGGCCAACCTGCTTTAGAGTCCTAACTGCTGACTAGATTGTTATTTTGAGGGAAAAATGTTAATTAAAAAAAATTTTATTTTATTTTACCACCATGATGCATGCATGTAGGCTCTTAGTTCCCTAACTAGGGATCAAACTTGGGCCCCTGCAGTGAAAGCGCCAAGTCCTAACCTCTGGACCACCAGGGAATTCCCAGAAATGCTGAAATACTGGTTCTCGTCAGAAATATTTTTTAAAGTTGTGCTTGTGAATTAGGTGGTCTTTGATCTTCAGTTGTTTATAATATTTGTTATGTTTTCTCATAACTATATTGTAAGTCACTCAGTCATGCCTGACTCTTTGCAACTCCATGGACTGTAGCCTGCCAGGCTCCTCTGTCCTTCTCCAGCGGGTGTTCCTGACCTTGGAATCGAACCTGGGTCTCCTGCATTGCAGGCAGATTCTTTACCGTCTGAGCCACCAGTGAATCCTGTATTTACTTTAGAATATCTAAATTGTTTCTTAGTGAAGTTAAAACTATAAAATTCAGTATTTTAGCCTTTTCAAAAAGTAGAAATTTTGGGAGTATTTTTTACAGTCTATCTGTATTAGAATATTATTTCCCTACATGTATGACGTTGTACCTTCTTGATAATTGTCAAGATATGGATAAGTTATTCTTTGTCTAAAGTTTGGAATTTGTGAAGAGTAACTTTAATAAAGGATACTAGGATTCCTTGTACAAAGTCTTGTACAGCTCAGTTTTAAGAGCTAGTGTTCTGTTTCACATTGTATATTAGATGTATTCTAGAAAACAGTGATAAGTCAAACTCTATTTTAAAAAGAAATTTCTGTTTAAGGGAATACTGCTGTAAATCCTTTTATAAATACTCACTGATCTGTTTTAGAAGTTTGGATTTTCTTAACAGCAGCATTTCTCTGTATAAGTGATATCTGACTAAGAAAGTCGTGGCATCTCCTGAACAAGGAAACTGATGCTGGCCAGGCTAGTATTGCCCAGGATGTTGCCAGCACTTAACATTCTATTAGTAAGTGTAAGCATAAGAGGAAAGGAAGGATTCAGTGAAGCCAGATGATTTCATATTCTCTTGGTGAAAAGTGAAAGTTAAGTCGCTCAGTTGTGTCCGACTCTTTGCGACCCCATGGATTGTAGCCAGCCAGGCTCCTCCGTCCATGGGATTCTCCAGGCAAGAATACTGGAGTGGATTGCCATTTCCTTCTCCAGGGATCGAACCCAGGTCTCCTGCATTGCAGGCAGATGCTTTAACCTCTGAGCCACCAGGGAACCCCAATTTTCTTGGTAGTTCAGCCTAATTGCATGCCAGCAGGTTCACACTTATTCTTTGGTTTGGGATCACTGTTTTCCATGCCCCCTTGGGCTATCATGCCAGTCTCTACTGTGAGTCCAACAGAGTAAATAGACAGTAAAAGATGTCCACTTTGGAGACACCAAGATAAAAGCTAAGAATAAATGTCAGTCCACCAGATAATAGCTACTGCCTGAGAAATCTAGAGAGGATCATGAAAATCCCTGATGCAGTTTGGACAAAACCAGCATGGATTTCTGGTCCATTATTATACTTCTCAGGGGCAAAGGTTGGTCTGTTACCATATTAGCAACCCTTTTTAGTCCCCTTTTCACTCAGTCACTCAACTCTTAAGAATGGTAAAATGAAACGAACTTCTTATGTCTGTTGTGTGATCCATCTTTTTTATTCTTTTCTACCCCACCCCCCTTTTTTGGAACACTGCCAGACTATTGAAACTATTGCTCAACCAAGGATGTGTATTTTTAACACTGCTGTTACCTGCTTCCCTGACAATGCGTAGAGGCTTATATTTTAAAATATAATCTTCCTAATATATAGAGCTGTTGTGAAAGTGTTCTTATATTAAATAAAGCTATAATTGTGTTTCTGGCAGCAGTTCTGAGTCTTACAAAACTTCTATAATCGTAGCATAATTAATGTTGAATCTATGTGGGAATTTCTTTAGAATAAATTTTACTCATTAATTTCATTATAAATGCCTCAAGTATTCTTTAGTGGCATCAATTTGATTAGTCAGCAGTCATCTTTGGGAGTAGTTTTATGTCTACTTAATGGGCACTTTTTGGCAGGAAAAACCAAAGGTACGTTTAATAATTTGTAGAGTAACTGCACGAGGTCTTTGATAACTTTTGTTTATGAGAGGAAGCTGCTGTTGTACTCTGTGCCTATTTTCAAACTTGTTTTTTTAGAAGAATACTTTTTCTTACTAGGCTCTCACATGGAGATCCGGTACACAGATCATAGGCTGGCTGCCTGGAGTGGTAGGGAGTCGGGTGGCTGGTGGTGGGAATGTAGAGGTACCCGATGTTCCTCTGGTATCAGGTATAGAGTTTTCTCTCTCGATCTTTATGTGATCCCTGTTGGGTGGGTTAATACCCACTAGCTATTATTCTCATAATACAGATGAAGCAACTGAAGCCCAGCATGATTTGTCTAAGAAAACAGAGCAGGTTGAAAAGGAAAATGGTCCCAAATCTAGATTCTTTTGAAGTAATAGTCCAACTTAGTTTTACTTTGTTTTTTATTTGCTGAGCGTGTCTTTTTTGCGATCCCATGGACTGTAACCTGCCAGGCTTCTCTGTCCATGGGATATTCCAGGCAAGAATACTGGAGTGGGTTGTCATTTCCTTCTCCAGGGGATCTTTTCTGATTTGATTCAAATAGTTCAAGTGGGTGTGATTTATATGTAAAAGTAACAACACTTAATTCTTTTTTTTCTTCCTCCTTTATGGAGAGAGTTACCTAATTTTTTCCCTAGATATTTAGATCTGATCATAGAGCAGCAAACTTGAGTGGACATTTTGTTTGTATTAAGGTTTAAAAGTTGAATGTATTATCTGATTGAATATTCAGTAGCAAAATATCTGTAGAAATGCATTATGGTACAGTTTGACCTAAACAGTTTTAATCGGTATATTAAAAGAGATTTTACTACACACATATGGATGGTTAATCCTTAATGTTAAGCCTAGTACCAATAAATTTCTTAGATTCTTACAGTAATACTGCCTTGACATCTGCAATAAAACTGTTAGCGGTCACTTATTGCCTTATGGGAACCTGTCAGATACTGGCCTTAGGAGATTTTCCACCTGTGACCAAATTGCCATCCCTAAGTTTGTCTGTACTGAGATATATCTTAAGCTAAATTCTGGGTCCTGCCAGAGGCATCTTAGGAGCACACTGAGGCCTTATCATCAATCCTGTCCCCATCAGTCCTGAATATTCATTGGAGGAACTGATGTTGAAGTTGAAATTCCAATACTTTGGCCACCTAATGTGAAGAGCTGACTCATTTGAGAAGACTCTGATGCTGGGAAAGATTGAAGGCGGGAGGAGGAGGGGACGACAGAGGATGAGATGGTTGGATGGCATCACTGACTCAGTGGACATAAGTTTGAGTAAACTCCGGGAGTTGGTGATGTACAGGGAGGCCTGCGTGCTGCAGTCCATGGGGTCGCAAAGAGTTGGACACGACTGAGCGACTGAGCTGACTGACGGACGGACTGAGGCCCTGCAGAGGATCAGCAGTGCTTCTGTGCGTCCTGCTACTCCTGTGGTGTGAAAGATGTTTCTGGTAAAGGTTACTCTGGGGTCCAGCTTATGACTTGTACAAAGCCTTACTACTCAAATCTTAGTTCATGAGATGACTGACTGACTCAAAGTTGAAATCTTGGGTCTTATACTTGTGTCTGAGCCCTTGTAACTGTAATGAGGTCTGTAGTTATATAGAGGTGAACCTTCTCTTTGTTTTAATGGTATCCTGATAGGTATAATGTGAATACCTTATTTATTGAGTGACTACTGTTCTAAAAACTTTGCTAGGTATCCTATTTTTTGCCTTTACTGTAACTCTGCAAAGTATGTGGTGATATTCTCATTTTACAGGTGAGGGAACTGCAGCCTGTAGTTTAGGAACAAAACTCAGGGTTTCTTGGCCAGTAGGTAGAGGAGCTGGAATTTGAATCCAGGTTTAACCTCAGCAACTATGTTCTTTATAAACTGTTGTTAGCTTTTGGTCTTAAGGTGATAGAAATGTTTGACCTCAGAGTTTTTATTATTATTTAAGCATTTTGAAAATATTTGGAATGTTACTATCTTCTTATAGAAGCAAAGAGTGTGGGTGTGCATACGGAAGCAGAAAATTTTCAGCGCCAAAAGGAGCTGTTATATTTTACTTAAATAAATTGCTTAAAAAGAAAAGAGAAGAGAAAAGGGGGAGGAAAACAGCAAAGTCATATCTAGTGAAACTTTATTGATATAAAAAAAACTTATAAAAGAGCTAAAAACAAAGTTGAACATGTAAGGGGAATTCTAGAATTTTATTTCTAGGGGAGAATTTTGGTGGTCCATGTGATTTTCTGATTTTCTCTAAGGAAACTGAAGCTTGTGAGTTAAGTACCTCCTTTGCCTAGTTCTGTCATCACCTTTCTCTGACTTCTGGCCCAGTGCTCTTTCTGCTATATTAGAGGCTGGTTGGAATGGCTCGGGGAATGGGAGGTCATTGATAGTAGAGAGATTTGTAATTTTAGCTCATTTATTTTTCAGTGAAAATTATACCAATCAGCTCAGCAGTTCATATAAGTTTCCAGAAAAAGGGAGTGTTCTTGTTTTCTGTTTTGGGGACTTTCACTGTAATCTGTGTCTCCATGGTAACCAAAGGGAGTTAAGTTGATGGATTTCTAGGCCTCACCCCCAGAGTTTTTTGATTCAGATTTGCATTTTTAACAAGTTCTCAAGTAGTGCTGATGCTGCTGGTTCAGACTTGAACTTTGATAACTTAAGGCTTAGAGTCTAGTTTGAAAAGGTTATTCATGAGTTGCAGGCCTGAGGGAGGAGAGGAGACTCAGGATGGGGCTGAAGGGCTGTGAGAATAAATATGATGGTGCTAGAGTATGGGGTCCAAATGAAGCCCCGATAGGGTCACTTTCTCTGAGGACTCGAGGTAAGTGGAAGGACAGAATATTGTGTTTGTAGAGAATTCTAGATTGTAAAGCTCTTATGTGACCTAGAGCAAGTGTATTCAAAGGTTCCAAGAGATAAAGAACTTGTGCCTGAGTGTAACCCAGTATACGCCTTCTTTCTTTGAAGAAGTCTGATTGTCCTCATCATCCCTTACCCATCCTCTTCTAATAAAAAATCAACTAGGCAAACCTATGCATAGTCATGTAGTTGATTTGCATTCTGGCACAAGCTCAGTTCACAGACTGTCCTCATTTGCAGACTTGAACTGGAACATAGACCACACTTGTAGAGTCCCTGACCGCGAATGTAGGGTTGGGGGGGGGGGCTATTATTTAGTGGCTCCAGAAGATGAAGGATGTTGGAAGAGTGAGTCCAGGATGTTGTTTCGGTCATCAGGAGAAGAAATCTGCAGCAATACAAAAAAAAGAGGCATTTCTGGAGACTGGTAGATGACCACAAGACTGGGATGGAGAAAGGACAGTAGAGCAGCGTGGCCTGGGCTCAGAGGCTCCGAGAGGCTCCCGGATGGCGCTCTGAAGCTCCAGTCCAGGGCGAGGGAGAACCGCACCATCCTCCAGGCCTGAGTGGGGTGACAGATTGTGAGAGGGACAGTCTTCACTTAATGCAGGTGTCCTCAGCAGCCTCCTTGGTCTTTTTAGGCGTGGGCATTTTGAGAGTCTTGTGTCAACAAGGCTCCATGGGAGTGAAGTTTCTCTTATAATCAAGCAGCACTCTGATGGAAGAGACATTGCTTGGGCTTCTTTTATTAGGTTAGGTAGGGAGAAGTCTATTAACCAAAAATGAGATAAGCCATTGGGAAAAACTTTTCTTCTAAGAAACATGTATTAGACTATCTCTTTAAAAAATTTGTATTTTCTTTGGTAACTATTTCTACAAACCAAAACTCAGTTATTTAAGTCTAACAAGTATCTTTTCATAGGGTATGATAGATCCTACCGAGTCTGTTTGGTAATCCCATGAAAATTTTAATTATGACTTCATGAAGTATCTTCAGCTAGTAAATAGCATTTCCATAGGAAAGTAAAATATAACTTTCCTCTTGTGTTTTAATATCCAACTTAATACCCGTAGTCAGAGACTAGGAGGGGCTGGTGAATGCAAGTATGGGCAGTAGAGAAAGAGGCAGAGGAAAAGGGTGGTTTAGAATATGGGCTCTGGGCAAATCTATTAATAGATTCATGTGATGGCTTAACACTTAACAGACTCTGTGACTTGGACAAATTGATGAGTCCAAGCTTCTGTTTCCTTGTGTTCAAAACAGGATAACAGTTTTATTTCATCCAATTGTTATATGGATTAAATGAGCTTTCTTATAGTGAGAAAGGGTGTGCTATATAATAAGCATGCCATAATTTCAAGCTTATTATTATTAACATATTGTTATCAAGGGAAAGTTTAGTCCTTAGGATCACAGAAATGTGGATTTGCATTTCCTTCTTAATTCAATTAGTCTGACCCTGGATAAGTCAGTTAATATTGCTGATTCACTTTCTTGTCAGTAAATGGGGAGTGGTAGCAACTACCATTGCAGTCATTGTAGGAATGAAGTAGTCTAAGTACATAATGTGTTTGGTGTGGTCCCGTGACATGGTCTTTACTAGCAAGGGTTTGCCTTTCTTTCCTGCCTCTAAGTTTGAGATTTCTTCTTTCTAGTCGGGACTTGAAAAGAGGATAGACCAAGCTGTGGAAGAGTGGAACGTTGAGAAGGCCGAGGAACTCAGCAATCAGCTAGCTACTCGAGAGGTGAGTCAGCCCCACCATGACGCCCTGCTGTGCTTTCAAATCTTCTGAAATGAATGTATGTTCTTTGCATGATCACGAGTAAGTGCAGTGTTCAAATATTTGATCTAAGATTTTCCTTCCTGTCCATTTTCTTCTCTCTTAATCTCCCATTTATTTTGAAATACTGGGTTTTATTTTTGTCTTTAATGTTAATAAATTATTCTGATCTAAATCTTAATGCTGGAAATAATCCATGGTTGATCTTCAGCCTCTAGATTTCATCTAGTTCAGAGCTCTTTCTGCCATTTGTGCTGAAAAGGCTAGTTTTCTTTTTCCATTTTCGTCTTTAGCTCAGTTTAACTCTCCCTGAGGGCAGCCGTGTGTTCTGTGGTCACATCTCTCAGCATGTTCCTAACCCTTTCTCCCCAGAATGCTTTCTTACTGCATATTCTAAATAGTTCCCTCAGCCCTAAAGAACTCTCAGCCTTTTTTTAACCTAAAAGTCTGTAGTATAAAGCTAATAGGTATATTGAATATTCTTTTCCCAAGTACCAAGGCATCCAGAAGACTCTCACTTGCACCTTCTGGGAGAAAGTTGCAAAATTTGTAAAACAATTTCTGTTTGCCCTTCACTCAGATACCTGAAATGTTAACAGTTAACGTTTGCTTGATCATTCTTCTCTGATTTATGTACCTTATTTAGATTTGCCAACTATGTCAGTGATTGCCTTTATAACAAAAGAAAATTTTCTTTTTTCTGGTCTCAGATGCTGAGTTTTGTTGTTGTGTCTTTTTAGTCTTCTTTAGTCTGGAATGTTTCCTCAGTCTGTGTTTCTCAGGACCTTAGTAATTTTGAAGAGTAGCTGATGATTTTGTAGGATGTCTGTCAAGTTTGCTTTGTCTGGTGCTTCCTCATGATTAGATTCATGTTATGCATGTATTGGTGGGAAAATCACAGAAGTGTCCTCAGTGTAGGATATCAGAATGCATGTGGCATCTATTTGTCTATTTTACTGACGATGTTCCTTTGATTATTTGCTTAAGGTAGTGTCTCCAGATTTATTCTAACATTATTTTTCCCTGTGTAAATTAATAAGTATCTCACAGAGAGGTGAGAGATGATTTGAGACTGTGGATATTCTTTTTCTCACTATTCTTTACCTACTAATTTTAGCTGTCATTGCTGATTGTTTTCCAGCTTGAGACAATTACTATTATAATTAAGATCTTGAAAACATTATTTGAGTGTACTTTTCATCTTTACCTGGCAAATCAGATCTAAAATTTGCCTTCAGTGAGATACTGGATTCTAGAATCTCTTATGTATGTATGTTATATTTTCCCTAAGTGATGTGCTGGGAGGGTTGGGGTCGTGGGGCTGGTGTCCACCAGGGTTGCATGTTCAGTCCCTGGTTGTCTTTCTCATCAGTGGTCACCCGTGAGCAGGAGGCAGCATGTCAGAGCGAGCAGGAGTAGAGCCTCTGAGGCCTCAGACCTGTGTGTTTCCTTCGAGGGTGTTGAGTTTCTGTTTCTGTTTTGCTTTGTCATACTGCTATTTTTGAAATGGGAATTGTGTACTACTGACTAGGTATTTTCCATTTTAATAATAATAATAATAGTACATAATATAACAATAATATTTATATAAATAAATAATAACCATTTAGGTTTTTATTTCCTGTCACGCTTTATGACAAATGAGATTGCTTTAGAAATATACACCATTTGTAGCACTTGAAAGGATAGTAAGCGTTTTCTCAAGAGTTCTTTTTACTTTCATACCAGCATAACGTTTTGTTCTAATGAAAGAAAATTTATCTAGTGTGGGGTTAAAGACTTCTGGTTAAAAGGAAAAAGAGTAATTTGTGCCCTCCTCTTTTCCTTGTATAAGTAGAAAGACATCTGGAAAGTGTTTACTGGCTAGACACAGACACTGGAGAGATACTGATGCCATGTTAATTAAACACCCGTGGAAGAATAACTAAAGTAATCAAGATGGAATTCTTGAATAAATAGTTTAGTTTGAAGTTTAAGTTTTTCAAATTTATCTCCTTGGTGCCAATCACTGGATATGAAAGATGAGATTGAGAAGTAAGTAATCATGAGTTTGGGGCAGAAACCCTTTATGAATTAAAGGTATACATGCATGGTAGGTGTCCTTTTGAAAGTCCGGTATACAGGTTTTTAATCAGTAACGTTTTCTTTTTTCAAGAAGCAGTGAGTGGGATGTGCTGATAAAGCCTTTGCTCAAAGGCACAGATCTCAGAGTTCTTAAAGCCTTTTCCAACTGTAATAAGTGAAACTAATTTTTGATGTTTAACATTTATAAGCCTGTGAAACCAATAGGGCAGTATCAGTATTGAGAAGAGTGAAGCCAAAAGTAGAACCTGTGTCTGAGAATGGGCCTTGAAAACAGTTCCTCAAAACAGAACAGAACAAAATAAAACAAACTGGTATGTCAAAAGAAAGCTGTCAGTGCACTGGCATTATGACACAGCAAGCACGTATTTTGCCAGAATCATATACCCTTAAATTCGTGATGACATTAAAGATGGATGTAATCTGGTGTGGGGGGTGGGTGGCTTAAGTTCACATGTTGGAAACCAAGATTGTGCTGTCATATTTGACTTTGCCGTGTAGTGATGTGGTTGCTTTGGGAAAGTCCATCCTATCGATTAAATCCTTCTTCGTTGTTAACAATCTTGGAGGAGAGAGAAAAGTGGAAAAATACGTTTGGTTTGTGTCATACTGATGAAAATGTTCTAATTTGAAAAAAAAAATAGCTCCTAAAAAATTACTATTTATGTATGTATACATACACATGCACATTCACACACATGTTTGAGCACATTTATAGCTTCTTAACCTCAGGCCTAAACTGGAAGAACATTCCATTTATTGATAGTGATCCTCAAAAATGCCATCCTTTGGTTCTTATCTTTTCTGACATGCTTTGTTACAGTCCAGATCATACCAATGTGTAGAAACCAGTAGAAACAAGTATTTAAAATTAAGTGCTAAGCCTAGCTTTAATAAAGTAAGCAGCATTTCAGTTGAATCTCACATTTTGAAAACAGACTTTGTCTCTAGGCATCTTCATATTAGCGTGCTGTACATAAAAACCAACTTGGTTTGGCAGCAGACAGTGAATTTCTACCATTGAATGAGTCACACCTACATTAACTAGAAAATATATTGCTTTCAATTATAGCTGTACCATGTTAGGGCAAAAATGAGTGGGGAAGAGAGGTTGCCAGTGCATTCTCTTTGAGCTTTGCACCCTGAAGGTTACCTTTCTGTAAGCGATTCAGACAGGATGGTCTTTGACAGCACCAACTAAACTTAATTCCTTGGAAACATCAGTACATACTTCATGTTGTAATGTTACAACTATTTTATGTAACTTATAGTAATTAAAAATTATTTTCAAGGTATTAATATTCATATCTGAAATATTTTGGTTATAATCTGCTACTATCTTTGCTATGGTCAATAGCCTTCAGTTGGAGTAATGATATAAAATGTTTCATATCTTAATCTTTTGCATCAACTTATTACTTAAGCCTTTAGTACTCTTAAGCACAGTATTTTTTTAGAATCTAACCAAGGTGTCACAAGTACAAATGATTAAAAAAAAGTGTCTCACTTTGATAGTATTCTTCTTATAGGTAATGATAAATATTTCATTGGCAGTATGAATTAAACTGAAAATTTAATTTTAGCTTTATTAAATTTCTTAAATAGGCCACTTAGATTTTTGGATTCCAAAACAGGTGAAGTTAATAATGTTGAAATAGTAATAGCTTGTTAATATTTAAATGGGCAGGGTAGGAATGGTCTTTTTAAAAAACCAGTGTTTGAATTGATTGAGTTGTATTCTTTCCTAGCTAAATACACTAAATACTGTGTAAATTTGGGGTAGATTATCAATTTGTCATTGAAGTTCTATTTTTAGAGCCATTTCCTAGAAAAATCTTAAGGCATTTTTGTTGGAGAGGGATATATACACACATTTGAGGAGTTAGTTTCTGTATTTTATGTTAACGTGTAAGAAGAAACATTTCTTATGAAATATATTTCCTATTTCTCAGAAATATTTCCTATGCTACAGCACTTGTTCTGGCACTCAGAATTTTTCTATTACAATTCATTGTTGGGCTGTAGTTTCCTCAGGACTCTGGCTATAATTCACCCTTTCATTTTGATTATTAATGTCATGTCGATGTACACACTGCATTGTCTTGATGGAATAAGAGCTTCAATTCACCCCCCTCCCCCCAAAATAATCTCCCCTAATAGAACAGTTTTGACAGATGTAGCTATCAAAGTACCTGGAGCATTTGCATATCCAGAGTTCAGAACTGAGACATTTGTTTCAAGTTTTGAGATAGAGATGCTGCCAAACCTGGTAAGTTTGAAGTTGCTTCTGATCAGTGCTGTTTCCAGAGCTCTGATGTTTTAGGAAAGTTGTTTGCTTGCATCACATACAAAAAAAAAAAAGAGCTGAGTTGATGGATATTATAGTGAAGAAAGTCTTGTGGTTCTAAACTCTTGATTCTCTAATCCAGAGGGCAAAATTATTTTCTTCCTGTTTTTGTGACTACTTTTAGAACTCTCTTAACAACCTTGATTCCAGAGGTAAGGCAGTTTGTTCAGATATGAAGCTGAACATATATTCCAATTAGCTGTTATCAGAATTTATCAGTAGAACCTGTGACTCTAAGAAGGCCAGGAGGTGCTTTCTATTTTCTTAATTATTATGGTTTCTAACCACTGAAGATAGGGTAAACGAAGTACAAATACATTAAGTAGTACCCATTGGTACATATTAAGAATTTAAAATTAAATATCTCCATTTCAACATCTTATTTTTACAGAAAGGAGATTTCCTTTGTTGTGAATTCCAGGAGTGTATATGAAGAATAGGTTGTTTCAGAGTCATCTAATGCCTGAACTGTCTGGCAAAATTTATTTTATGTCCCTCTTTGAAATTTTACTGCCCTACCTCCCACCCCTTACTT